TGTCAGCAAAGGAAAAGATGTAGGAGCAAGCATCCAGTGGCAGGAACCCTCGCTGAGACAGGAGTGTGAGCTTATGCCAGAATGAATATGTCATCATGACCTCAGTCATAGTAAGAGTTTTCACATCTAGCATCTATTTACTCACCTACTTCAGTGAAATAAAGAATTTCAGAGGTGCAGGTGAGGACTTGAAAGTATTCCACACTCCCCGTGAGGAATGCATAACACCTTTGAAATACAATTTTATGCTGATTTGGGTACAGATTACTTTAGATGCAGAGATGTAGGGAACAGCCCCTTGAAGTTGCTTTACTAATTGCTCTGCAGGACTGAAAATTCCACTGTCCTCTTACCCTTTCTGATGCAGATCTGTTGAAACTTCTGTCCTTCTCCTGTGTTGGAGTATATACCTCCTGACATCGAGTGTATTGGACTGTGTATTATTACACCATTCAGTAAGAGCCACTAGAGTGGAAATTTATTTTACAGCCAAACACATTATTTATTTATTGAATATAACATTCAACAATTCCACTCGATTTATGCAAAATTGATCTTCTAACCTCCTGAAATATATTTCTAATGAGCATTTTCTGTGCTGAATGTAAAATCTTTTCAAGACAAGCAGGAAAAGAGATTGCTGAATGTCAACAGCAAGCTGAAGTTGACCTAAGACCTGGTGTAGATATCTCAATAGCTATAAAGCAGAATATATATATATATATATATATATATATATCCTTGCATATGCTTAAGTCTTTAGTAACCATCATAAGCTCAGGAAAAGTATTATCTTGATTTAATGAGCTAATTCCTCAACTTGACTTTTGGGTATCTAGAAAACGAATGTGAAGAGCTTGAATGAAAGAACCATTGCTAATAGTAGAAAAGGGACAAAAAACCCACAAACAGGAAATGACAGCCACCCCCCAAGACTACAAAAAAAAACCCTGCAAACAAAACCAACACAAATGAAAATCAACACAAAACCAAACAAAATGAAAGTAAAATCCAAGGAATATTATCATAAATCTGTATGTAAATTTCAGGAGTGTGAAAGAAATTTGATACAGCAAATAATAGTTTGGTTTAAATGTAAGTTTGAAAATAACTAGAAAATTGTCTTCTATGCCACATGGTGAAAATTCATTACCAGAGTTCTAAAATGCAGTCTGGACAGAGATTTAATTAGAGTGGGCAATTTGGTCTGTCAAAGTCAATGGCAAGGGTTAATAAGACATGAGATGGGTCTTTTTCTCCTTAAAATAGGTGCTTTGCAAGATGAATTGTTTCTACATTGATGTTGTTAGATCACCATCTAGAGGTCATTTGAAATAAATGCTTGTCATTTGACTGGATTTAAAAAAAATCTATTTACTAAGGCTGTTTCAGCCAAACAGCACAAATTACTCATAATAGCTTAAGCACTGAAGTGGGAAATTCATTACATTTCCCACTCCACTTCTACCAGTTTTATAGAAGACTTCTTCTTCAGTTAGCTCTCAGATGCAGAAGTATTCAGGATTAAGTGTGATTTTTTTTCACATTAGGTAGTTATGATCCTACCCCCTTCATTCTCTTTTTTACCTTTCAGCAGAGACATACTTTTTTTCAATTATTCCCAAAAGCTTTCACACTCTTTCCTTTGGGATCTTCTTAGCTACATAGGGTGAAGGTCCCCAGTGTTCCTGCCTAACAACATGCAACACCTTTGTATGTCAGATGGTGTTGTGATGTCACAATGTGCCCCAACAAGACCCTGGTGGTAGTTATGTCTACACTCCAATACCTGAAAAGCAGTGAGGAGCAAAAGTGTCTTGTGCTAGACAGCAAAATAGGATGGGTGTTAATGCAACCTTGATAATTTTCCTGGGATTTGCCATCTATCTGATGAGTTTGGTCCCAGCCACTTACTGCTCAGTACCAGTGAAAAGTCAGAGCATGATTCGCACTGCCGAGAATGAACAGGAGGAGGAAAGCAGTCCAACAGCAGGTGAGAGGATGGGCTGAAGAGGGAGGATGAGAAATAAGGGGCTTGGAGAGCAGCTAAGGGCAGGGAATGAGATTAGGTGTGGACACAGAAGAAAAAGAAATTTCTTTTTGTAAAAAGAAAATCAGAGGAGGAACAACAAAATATATATCAAGTGGAAGTGGAGGTCAGATGATCCCTAAGGAACAGGGACCCTTCAAAGGAGCGGGGTAGCAAGGCAGACAGTGGCACAGGCCACAGCAGGCAGTCCTGGGGATGGCAGTCAGGGTCAGAGAAGAGCTCACCAGGGAGGTCTGTGATGTTGAGACAAGTCCAGGCTCAAGGAGGAATGCCAGTCAGTGTGAGGACTAAACCTAGTGATGGAGACCAGGGTTGGACACAGTCCAGTGATGGCCCAACCCCACTCTTACAGGGGCCAGAGGACATGAGTGACACACAAGTTCAGGCCAGTCATAGATGTTATGGCCTCGTAGATCACCCACAGCCCTGACTGCAGCCTCCTGTCTCAGCTGTCCCCTCACACCCTACAGAGATCTGAAAGGAAAGGTCCAGGACACACCTGGAGACCAGGGCCAAATAATGAAAGAAAATAGAGTCAGACACAGTCCCATGACTACCAAGCAGGTCTGTAGTGACAAGGCACATTCAAGGTCAAACCAGGAGGTCAATTTGCAGGTCAGCATCCACAATAGCAGGGTCCAGGCACAGCTGTGATAGAGACAGAGCTGGAGATAAGTATATTTGCAGCAGACCACAAATAGAGATCTGAGACTCAAACCAGAGCTTAAATGCAGCTCTCGAATCCATGGGGTTCAGATAAAGGCTCCGGTCAATGCTTTTAAGGGCTATTACACCCTATTACTGCTATAGTCATGGCCGTGAAAAGAGAAAAGAATGTATCTGGGGTAACTTTTGTAATTGAAAATACAGGAAAGGAGAAAAACATGAGATGCAAAGCGGAGTAAGGAAAAAGCGATCGCTAAAAGAAAATATTTCAAAATCAGAATCACAGAAACAAGAAAAGTACAAGAGAAGCAGAGAGCAGAAAGAAGTACAAATGAAAATCTGCTTGGGATGAAGGAGAAAATTGACATACAGTGAAGGTGAAAAGAATTTGACAGTTTAGAAAGCAGGGAGAATAAAATAGAGGGACGCAGAGGTAAAAAGGCTTCAAGTATGAAATAAGTGAGCAAGAATAAAGCTTATGTTGTTCCCTTTTTCCCTCATTTACAGGCTGGCAGGAAATGGAGGAGTCATTTGTGGCCTCATCAACAGGGGAAGGAATGGAGGTGATCGATATGGTGGAGCATGAGGGCTCAGAGACACTGAGCAATTCAGCTGTGAAGGATCTGCTCTTGGATCTGGCTCTTCTCCTCAGGATTGTTTTTTGGGGTTTTTTTGGTGCATGACCTAGAACTTGCAATAATTTCTGTGACCATGAATGACAACAATGTGAACATCTACATGTGTTTCATGATCACCTACTGGAGAATACAGCTTTTCTTCACCAACCACGTCTGAAGATGAGGGCAAGGACCCTGTGCACATACTGAAAGTGTTTTCCTTTCTTCTTGAGGAACACAATAAATTCTCAGTAATGTTGTTCTAATCCAGCCTTCCCTTCTTGCACTTCCCATATGTTCTTTGTGTAATACCATCGTAACTAATAATAAGAATTAATTCAACTCACCAATTTCACCAGCGACCCTGTCTTTTAAACAGAATATTATTAAATTCTACATATATTGAAAGAACAAGAAAAAATAAAGCATATTCCAGGGAACTGTACCTACCCATACACTTAACAAGATAGATCCAAGAAAAGTTAGACTCCTCAATGTGCATATTGTCTGTTCCTTTTGCTTTTTTTTAAAACAATAAAAACAGAAGCCAAATAGTCTCAGAACACTGAAATAATGTCTATATTATACACTTAGTGTTATGCAATGTTATTTGCTATTAGAATCTTAAAAAAAAAGCCTGTCTGGACAGGCTGCTAGGAGAAAATAATTGAATGAGTGAAGGGAAGGAAGAGTATACACTGTTTAAATGGTAATGATAAGTATGAGCCTAATTTTATTATTTTTATGATGGTAAATAAATCAAACTATTTTGAGGTACTCCTATTTATTACTTGCGAAGTTCAGCTAAGAGCACCAGACAAGTTGTGAACAGTACAAATACAGAAAAAAAATACAGGCCTGATGATAAAGCGTTTGCAATCAAAGTAATTTTTTTTCAGAAGCAAACACTTTATTACTATTTTGGTTAGTTAATGAAAATAAAATCTCTGAACAGTCCGTTCCTGGGAAACATTTTGCTGTATTTGTCAGTACTTGAAAAGGATTAACACAGTTAGTTTTAAAATGCTTACATTGATAAGGGATGTTTCCAACTTGCCATCATCTATTCCACAAACAATCCCCAGGCAGCCAATATAATAAGTAAAATAAAAATGTTCCCATAAACAAGAACAGTTTGAAGAGTATGCAAAAGTCATTAAGTATTTTGTATACTTATTAACATCAGTAAATTTTAGAACATTGGTATAATTTTTTAAATTATGAGACCCTGAAATAAATGTAATTATTACATTGCTCTTAAGAATGTACTTTAGGCACTTCTGCTACCCCAAATCGTGTTGTTTCTTACTCTGCTTTTGCTCTAAAGCAAATGAATACCTAAAATTCAGTTTCAAGTAGAAAGTAAAATCCTGCAACATCTCTATGTCTCTGCTTGGATGGTAAATATTTACAAATGTAGGGAGAGAACCAGGTTCAGGATGCAGAGAAGCTCTTGGAATTCCAGTTGTTCAACCTTCAGAAACTTCTAGAAACCTTTGTGACTCTCCCATACTGCATCCTCTACCATATCCTCAACACTAGACACTTAAGAAAAAGAGGATATTGTTTGAAAAGAAAGAGAATCTGTTCTGAGCTCCCCAGTTACCCTCCCATTAATGGGGGAGCTTTTATCTTTCCTCTTATGTCTGAGTTTTGCTGATGAAACAAAAACAGAGCAGAGAAGGCCTCCAGTAAACTTCATTATTAAGTCACTTACCTTTCAGCCTACAAGTTGTAACCACTGAGTCTTTCCTAGCACCTGTCTCTATTTATTAGCAAAAGAAGAGAAGAGGATTCTTCCCTCTCTTGTGAGTTATATGTGGTTTGCACAGTGACCCACAGGATTTCCTCAAGAGCTCTTGTGAGATATTAACAAGTCTTCCAGCTCCAGTTGATGGACTTGCCCTTTCTACAGGACTGTGAGGCTGCTGGAGCAGACAGGTAAATGCAGTGAATAGAAGGACTAATAATGTAACAGTCTTTCTGTTCACAATTCCTCACAAGTGTTGCCTACCAGAAACTGGCCAGTCACCTTGCTGCCCTGGGACTTTTCACACATCTGGGACAGAGCACTGAGAGCCTTGGAGGAGATCCCCTCCTCATGAGATCAGTTTAAGAATTTCCCTGCCATCAAATGCTGAGCAAAGGATAACAAGAAAAGGAAGGCAAAGGAGTGGCTCAGAGCACCATGTCACCCTAGAGGCTCTGAGAAGATGGTCATATTTTCACGTGTCAGGCCTTCCTCTCCCTGGGATCACATCTCTCTTCCTGCTCTTCCATGCCCATTACCAGATGCGGCATTTGTTTTCTGGGTTCATTGGGGATCCACTGGGACATTGGAAGCTTTTGGAAAAGTCCTGGCTATTGCTGACAGGCCCAGAGACACGAAGTGGCAAGGGACTATGTGGATCTGTGTTCAGGGAAGACTGGAGCTTCTCTGGATCCTGGTGTCCACACATTGCCTGAAGGGAAACAAAATAGAAAAGTCAGTTTGGCTGGAAGTCCTCATGTGAACGAGACTTAGGGCTCCTCATGCCTCTGCACATGTCAGAGGATGCTGGAGAAAACAAGGAAATGTGCATACATGGCTGATAACAATAGTCAGATTTTCTTCAAATTGCTTTCTCTTTCCTTAAACTTCTCTGTCGTCATTTCACTCTCTGACAAGTCATCTTTTTCTATACTGCATAGTCCAGAACACAGAAAATTTAGGCCACCCTGACTAGGCTCATGCAACCTTGGACTCTACCTAAAAAAGTGATAAAGATGTCTCAGTGCCTGGATTCAGCTTGTTAAGTGAAATCAACAAGTGCTCACCAACAAAGGAGAGCATTTACACAAAATCCAATTACTAATCTAGAGACTCGGAGAATTATATGACTTTACTGCTGTTAAAGTGGCAATTCAAGTCTTCATTCTCATGATTTCAGGTCCTTCTTTATCAACAAATGATGCAGCAGCTGTCATTTAGCCTCTAAAATGCAAATCTTGCCAGCAAGGCCCAATAAGCTGTTTCTTTCATGCACTGCTCTGACTTAATAAACACACAAAACCTCTCCCTTTGCACAATTGCATGACTTATAAGGATGTGATTTTTTGAGCACAGAAATCCAGCCATCATCACGAGGAAATTAGCCACACAGCTATGCATAGCTGTGCAATTTAATGGAGCTTCCCACAGAAACAGGAAACTATGAGTGCATGTACTTCTAGTTCTTTGTCTCTAAGTAACATTTGAAACACTTTTTTCACTATCGGCCAATCAGTGATGTGACATCCAGCTATGCACCATGACAGAGAAGTGAATGAAGGAAGGGAGGGACAGATACATTACTTTTACAGTTAGATTTCACTTTCCATGTGTAAGATTGCTCACAACAGCAAAAAAGTACTCAGAAGCTGGCAGTGAAGCCTGCTTTCCCTGACACTATGACTTAATTTTGGTGGATTTCAGTGCTTTATAAAAATATATTTGCAGACAGGTCTTTTGTTAACTTTGAGATCCATAACAGCTGTAAATACGATTTTTAGCTTCTAAATAAGATTCTGGATCTCAGAGAATCTTTGATCATTCTCAGTTCTGTGAAGAAGGGGGAAAGTGATTGAATATTGAGAAAGACAAACTGTAAGGGTGTGGAAGAAATGGAGAGTGAAAAAGACACATGACTAGAATTCATTACATGAGCAAAACTGAGGTAGAAAAGTTGATCGTGTGAAAGTCCAATCTTAGGTAAATCCTCTTCTTTGTGCTTTTTCAGCCAATTCTTATAGGCCTGTGGAGAGATAAAATAGATAATTATAAATCTTCTTTAGACAGTATCACAAGCTCATGTCTTCTGTCAATGAAATCTATCAATCTAATATATATTTAATAAATTAGCAAGTTTGTATCTCTCTCCTCATTCTGTGGCTCTCTGCTGCTGGCCATGCCCTAAATAAATCTAAAGTGGGAGAATACAACATAATTACTTTCCTTACCATTTCAGATGCTACTACACAGATACTAATACACACATTGTCATATGATGCGATAATTATGTTATGAAAGCATGAAAATTATTTTCACAAAAAAATCACAAATATTTGACTATAAATTAAAGACTTTCTGCCTCCCAGTGTTCTTAATGAAAGAATGTAAGAAGCACCATTTTACACCTAAGGATCTCACACCACCCTCAGCAGTTAAAGTGAAGTACTGCATGAGGAAACAAAAATTTCTCCCTAAAGTACTGCGGAAAACATTGTTATGGAGTCATTTCACCATCACACAACATTCTGTTTCATGCCTCAGTTTACTTCCTCAAGCATAACATAAGCATATATACAATAGCATGCTATTTTATGCATGATATAAGCAGTAAGTAAAGGTGGTGAAGGGGAGAAATTGTCTTACATGGACATATTGAGGCTATGAGCAAAGCTTTGTGAGGAACCTCTCTCTGGACTAACAGAGGATATGCTGGGCTCATGCTCCACTGGCACAGGTGTGCAAGAAATCTGGAACTGGGGCAGGACGTGGGAGAGAGGAGCAGCAGGGCAATCTTGTGTGTTACATCATGAGACTGTGAGATTGCAGAAGTAAATCATAATACCTGGTAAGCGACGGCGAGCCCTCCAGTGTCAGCTGTATTCTCCAACAGTGTGAAGGTACCATTGACATTAAAGCTGTAGCTTTCATACTGCTCAACCAAGCAGTCTATAGAGCTTTGTAGTGCATTCCTGTTGCATGCAGGACAGCCCTCAGGCAACACTGTGGGGGAAAAAAAGTCCTAGAAGTAAAGCTATTTATTCACCTGTCTTCCTCATACCAATCACTGATTATTCCTAGTAGCCAGCATGGACTGAAATGTGTTTCCTTTAAGTTCATCTACCTTAATAACATATGCATATATTGATGGAAGGACTAGGATTTCAGATCCTCTAAGGGGAAGTACCAGTGGGACCTAGAAGAGTAAATGAAGACACTACAGACAGTACCCACCATAACCATAGAATGCGTGAAGAATTTCATGTGCCATGAAGACTCCAATGGCTCCAAAATTCACAGCACTGAAAAATAAAGATGAAAAGAGTGCTTTTGGAAAGAAAAAGGGGGCAAATGAGCATTCTGTATAGCCACTGAGCACAACCATGTGCTCCACAGCAGAATTCTACTCTGGAACTACACAGAAACACTTTCTCTGTATTGTTACTCGGGCATGTAAAAGTGCAAATACAAGTGCAAATTATCCTACCTATGCTTAAAGTTCTACTATGGGCTTACTTTAAAGTATTTGTTGCTAATAAGCCATCATAGCAATGAAGAATCTGTGAATGAGATTCTGCCTTTGTTACCTGTAATGACAGGTATTGCTGATGTTGATATATATCCTGATTGAACCTCTGCTGTCTGAACTGCTGCACAAACAACAACTACAATGGTAACTATACAAAAGCAGGATGTTTGGAGAAGCAATCTTACAATTTTTGTTGAGAAGGGATACATAAAATTGGCAATGCAAATTAAAATCATGATGTTTTGACTGCAATTACTCTGGTCTAGCACTAGCAATCTTGCTACAAGCAAGAGGTTGCCCTATAAACCTCCAGTAGTTATTTTCAAATGGAATTTCTATGGTTCTATGCAATGAATTTACAGATATTCCCACAAGGAAGAGAACACTCAAAATGCATTTTCATTATATGAAATTATGGGCTCATTCTTTCTTCCCATGCACTGAATAACACTGCTGAAGCATGACATTTTCATACTAGATCATTATTCCATCACTGGGAACTCAGTAGGAGCTCTACAGCTGACAATTTATAAATTTTACCCAGAGAAGCTGTGGATGCCCCACCCTTGAAAGTGTTCAGGGCCAGGCTGGATGGAGCTCTGAGCAACCTGGTCTGGTAGAAGGTTTCCCTACCCCCGGCAGGAGGGTGGAACTAGAGAATCTTTAAAGATTCCTTCCAACCCAAACCTTTTTATGATTCTATAACAATTGTATTGCTTTGCTGAGATCTTACTTTAAAAATTATCCTGACAGTCACCTGAATTGGCTTTTCCCAGTAGAGTTTAAACTCAGGAGCATCATCTGAGAAAATGCTATTGTACCAACTCATCAAAAGCTGATCAAGTGTTACTTATCAGTGTACTCAGCTGAGGTGACAGTGAGAAAAATGTGCTTTACTAACACTGAATACAAAAGGAATAAGAAGGCATAGACACTTTTTCATGGAGAAAGAATAAAGTGATAGCCCATACTACGGGGAAAAAAATTATTTTCTACTATTCTTTTGAGAATATCCTTTTTTTCATACTATAATAAATTAATTAAATACTGCAAGCACTAGAAGATCATAATTGAGAAAATAATTAGTTTTAACTGAAACATGTTTCTTTTGAACTTCAGCCTCTTGCCACAATGTGAGCTTATTTTTCAGTACAATGGTATTAGGACAAGTATATCTCCATTATATGCAAAAAGAACATAGAATTATACGTTTACAGTCAACTGTTTGGAGTGCTTTTATTATCAGAAAAGAATATTGCTTAAGAGATCTGTTCCATATGATGAAAGAACAGAACCAGAGGAGTATGGTCTAGAGAAGTGTTGTTATTGCAGGGGAAGACTCAGAGTTAAAAATCTATCTGCTTAGTAGAAATGGTTTCTTAAAAAGAAAAGAACTGTGATACATTTGAAAAAGACTTCTGACAAGAAGTTGCTATGTGAGGCTCCTATTTTTTCTGGCTTAGATTTGAGGAATCCTTGGAATTTAGAAAATAAGAGACAAAGGTGGAATGTCTTCTTTGCAGTTAACCTACACATGACTTCTGCCCCTTAGCTCTGGAGTAATATCTTTGTGTTAGTTCAGGTTCACCTCGATTCTGATTTTGCTTCAGCAGAGTCAATGATCACTCTCTCTCAGAATGCATCAAGCAGTATCCATCTGGCTTAGAAAAAGCTGGGCTTCCCCCCTTTCCTGTGTCTTTCTGGGATGCAGTGAGAAAAATAAATTAAGGACAGACCACCTGCTAAGGTTGCTCCCAGAAGCATGGTGCAGCCCAGGGAATACATTCACCTTGCACCTCTGAAGCCCCTCCATACCTGGGAAACTCCATGTGGAAAAAAGGACTGCGGAACATTCCAGCTGGAAAGACCACCATGTGGTGCCTTATTGAATAGTAAGAATGCACACTCCAGGGGTGCACATGCCAGCTAGAAGCAAAATAAAAAGAGAAATTAGAGAATGTATTAATTCCTTATCTCACACTTTGATCCTTCACTGAGCTTGCAAAAATAGCTCAGCTGTTCACACAGCATCAGCAAATGATGAAACTCAAATTCTCTTGAGTTACAGGTGTCTGAAATAAATCTTCAGTTGTTTACAGATGGTCAGAACTAATAGCTTAGTTTTCATAGACATTCTCCCTCACAATTTCCCTGTCAAGTAGTGCATAGAATACTCTGCAGGAGCTGTAAGGCCCTAAGCCCATCTGTCAATGCTGCCTTCCTTCTGAAGCATCCTATGTCCTGCCTTTGAGGTGGCTCCACCAGCATTCCTGTCATCACAGTGCCTTGCTGTTGGCTTGGTTAAGAAGTCCAGGAGAATCAGCTACTCCCCTTAATTAAGGGTGCATGGTCAAAAAAAAGTGGGTATTTTTCAGGGGTCTGTGTTCTCTTCACAATGGTGGGTACTTTGGTAGCATTGCTAAGGCTCAGCCTGCCAGATTCAAGGTTTCTCTAAAGCAGGATGCAGTGATGCAGACTTGCAGCAACATTGTGAAGTGGTGAAACCACTTTCAGAGCTACTGAATCCAGTTCTGCCCACTGGCTCCCACCTGCCCTTCCTCGTCTTCCACAGTAAAAGAGAGATACAGATATACAGCTACCATAGTTCTGAGTGACCTGCTCTAATTAATCCTGCTTTGAGCAGGAGGATTGAACTAGGTGATCTCCACAGGTCTCTTCCAACCTCAGCTGGTTCACAAGCATGTGATTTGGTTATATTTTTCAGATCACTATCTGACTTACCTTTTCTGTGGGTTATGCTGAAGGAGCTTCAGGTAGGAATTTTCCCTCTGTACTTTCAAGCAAGCCACCACATTGAGGAAAAAAGTGTCTTCATTTATCTCCAGCTGAGGGAAGAGACAGGGAAGGTGATTGTCATAGGGCATAAGCGAAGAATGAATTGAACAATTGAGAAAAAGAAAAAATGAGAAAAAGAAAAGTCCCATGGATCAAAAAAAGGTTCATCAAAAGAGAAACCAATGGGATACTTGTAGGTTTTTTCCCTCCCATTTCTAAAAACCTTCAATTTAAGATATGACAGGAATGTTATCTGAAAGCCAAACAGAATATGTACAGGTATAAATTACTTTTATCAGGCCAGCCATTCTAAATAGGAGACAGTATAAGCAACAATATAGAAGCAATAGATAAAGGTTCTGTGGTCCCATATGTTCCCAATAAGTGAACTGTAGGAAATGTGCTCCAGAGGTCATAGCCTCTTTTGTAAGCAGACAAGACAGCAGTTGATACAGGTAAACTGCCAATAATGAGGCAGGCATGTTTACATTATATAGCTCACATTCTGGTATTCCAGGTTCACTTTGTCAGTCTGGAGCATGTGAGCTGGATAACCAATCTCCACTTGTAGTCTGGATACCTAAAATAATAATAAACAAACAAAGAATCATAAAGAAACTTGATCCGTTTCTGAGGCTTTACATTTGGCAAGTCCTTTTAAAGGCTATTTCTAACCAGTGTAAGCATGATCTGTGAGTCAGCCCTTCAAAAGGACAGTTACTCTGTTTCAGGAAAACATCTTGTTCTGCTGCTCTGTTTTCTCAACTCTACAACCTGAGGCCTAATGTTGTTCTAATCTTTTTCTTTGTATTGTCTTCTGCCATTCAGCTTTTTAGCTTTTAACTTTACTAGATGTATAGAATTGAACTGTATTTCCAAAAAAGTTAATTCAGAGTATTCGTGGACAGATAAAAACTGAGCCGCTCTATGCCTACCCATCAGGGTATGTACCCATGAATGCTGGCACTCATAAAACCACCTTCAATTTTTAGTATGAATAAGACATCTATTTAAGACTGTGTGCCTGTAGAAGCAGGTAGGAATGCATAAAGGTGTAGGTCTCTTCCATTCCTTCTCCAGAAGCTTCAGGAAAAGGAAGGCCTCCGTAATTTCTGCCTTCTGCACGCACCAAGGCTTTAGCATTTCGCCGAGTCTGTTCATCCATCCACTCCACCTGATCCAGGCGGTCACAGAGGGCATCTTGGATTACAGAGAACATCTGCTCAGCCTGCCATGGAGAAAAGAAGGCATGGTCACAACTGCACTAAAATATTGCTCACTCTTAGTTATCATCTTCCCATGTTCTAGCAATTCAACCACAGAGTAACTGGGGGAAAATTCCATTTTTTTGTGTGTGATGAAAGAGAAGATTTCATTTTCTACAGTGATTTAACCTTAAGCTATCTGGCTTCCAGTTTTTCCTCACCATTCTCTCCCACACACCTTTTCATCTGGCCTCTCACAGTAACTAAGAGGGAGACAATTCCTTCTCATTCAATATTGAATAATTGTCCCCCACTTCAGCAAAATAAAAATTCAGTATCCACAAGTATTTCTTGCTGGGGTCTCCCTTTCCAAAATTATGGCAATCTGAGTCAACCCTTCTCAAAATTATGCTTTATTCATTAAAATGTATGCTTCCCTACATGTAGTCTTGGTTTTCTGATTAGCTTTTCTCTGTGTTATTTACTCTTGCCACCTTATAGACTTCAAACTCTGTTAAACAGGTGCTACACTATCTTTCCTCAAAAAAAAAAAAAAAAAAAAAAAAAAAAGGAACTTTGACCATCACAGCATGAAAAAACCAGGAATCTTTTCCACACTGCAGGCAAGTGTTCTTTTCACCAAGGATCCACTCAGAATGTTTTCATATGATTGCTTAGTCTCTTTGCAATTGAAAATCTTACTGAGCTATGTCTCATTGGTGATGAATACCGTTAACACTGTTATTCCAGGGAGTACACAGAGATTGCATGCATTTGTAGGGCTGTCATAGCTATTGGTGCTGCACATATGACTTTTCTAACAGTTGAGACAAAGATAACAGCTGGCATTTAGCAGTGATTATTCTAAAATTACACTAATGTCTGTTCTGACATATTCCCAAAAAAGGAAGGGACATGCATAAGCAGAGGAACAAAAGGTAGGAAACCTACAGATGGTTTTGCTGCCTTGATGTGGTCTTAAGGTGGCATGTCAAAAAAAAAGAAAGAGTGGAGGATGAATTCTGCTTAGGGGTTAAGAGATGAATACCTACAAATTTCTTGGTCTGCTCAGGGAAAATTTCTTGCACAATCATCTTCCCTAGAACTGGCTCAAAGAAAGAGCTGGTATCAGTCAAGCACTTCCTCCAGCGTTCAGCTGGGATCTATAGGAACAAAGAAGTAGACACATGAGAGTGAGAACAAAGGACTAGGAAATCAGTAAAATGATACGTAGATGTGTGGACAGTAGCACTGTCTAAAATTGACAGCAGTGGAGAAGTAATGTAGTTCTATTTAAGCTAGCACAATAAACATTTATAGTCAAATATTTATTTCCTTATGATTTAGTCCACTTACTTTCCCTCAAGATGCAGATTTGTATATTAGCAGAGAATAAGCCATAGAAGAAAGGTGACCATCTACATATTTTTCCCTACTCCATGATACAGTACACTCAGCTCTCTAAACTTCTGAGGGTCATATCTACTCACACCTTTCTTTTGAGAAAAAAGAAGCACTAAATACCATGAGAGAGTAGTTTTTCTCCACAGATCTAAGAAACTGCATTCATTTAAGGTGTCACAAGAACATTCAGAAGGCATGAGCTACAGTGTTCAGCTGTTGGGGAGGCTGAAGAAACTGATGAAAGGCTAACTCACCATTCTAGATCCCATTCTTCCATAAAGGATCTTATACAGCTCCAGGCGTGCATCTTGGAATTGACTGTCAAGGGCTGGGGAGAGATTCCCAACCAGACAAACAATCATATAAATGTGAAGGACCCTGCAGACAGAAGATTGAAGGCTGGTAACCATAAACACAAAAGTGAGGCAAGTGTCAGAGTAGTAACTTGAGGCAGAGAAATCCTAGGAACCTGAACAATGACAACAAGGAACTCTGAACAGAATACACCTGGGGCTATTGAGGAGGGATCATTGACATGAGTCAAATACAGAAACTCCCCAAAACGCTGTGGAGACTTAAGGGGTAACTCCCTGCTGGGGCACAGGATTCTTTATGGGAAGTTGGAGAAGGATACTTTTTAGGACTAGGTGGAACATACAGAATATTATGAGAGGTCTGCAGAATTATGTAAGACTTATGATGGCATGTTTATGGGAAGGACCAAAGGCAGGGAAAGGGAAGGATCATAGTGAATTGGGAGAATATATGTGGGAAAATGGAGAGGAAAGCTGATAAGAGGGAATGATTGAGTGTAAACTTGTGCTTGTCAGGATGTCTGCCTGACTGAGCCCTGCATATGGTAACCAGGATTTGTCCTCTCAACTTATTAAATACCATGGTTAAGTAACATTCTATTCACTGTGTGTGAAGATGGAACTGAACACTGGAGAGATGACAAGTCTGATAGTTGACTACTGGAGGGACTTTGGATCCAGCTAGCCTCTGGAGAGAGCATCAGTCTGAGAGCTGGCTATTGGGAATACTAGTGGTTGGGAGGAGCTACTGAAGAGACCTGATAGTATTGGTGTGTTTCTAACAGGAAGACACCAGAATATCAGGAACCAAAGTAGGGCTGCAAGACTCAGGGGATCATATATTCATGTGATATATCCAATTAGACACCAGGAGATCTTGGCCAGCTTTTTAACAGACTGAATACCCAAGACCAGCTATTGGAGTTAGGCATATCATGTGTGTGCACACACATATTTCAATAGTATAGACCAATCCTGATCAGCTGGAGCTGAGGAATAGAATCAGTCTGTGCTCATGTTGGTATGAGTGCTGTGGATGGATGGGTGTCCATCAAGACACTATGTTCACTCTCTGTGTGACACACATAAATGTATTATTTTATATGTGTGTTCATACATGGTGCATGCATGTGCAAATCTATTGGGAATATATGCTAAGCCATATATATCCACCAGTCAAACCTGTGGATATAAAGCCACAGCAGCCTTGCTGTGACTACTGGATTCATCAGCCTCTAACACAGCAGCCTCTAATCTATTAAACTTATGGTATTTGAAGAAAATATTTCTTGGGGCATGAACAACTGCGACCATAGATATAGACTCCTACCTTCCCTTGTGCCATTTCTCAATGAGCTGTGACATGTTGCTTAAGTAATCCATGTCATGCACTGCAATTGGCTGAGAGAGGTTCATTGGCACAGGATGGAAGACAGCCTTGAGACAAGCCAGCCAGTCAATAGCAGGTGCCTTTTCCTGCAAGCAAAACAAAGCTTACGTGCTGAACTATGAATCTAAACTGGCTACAAGAAATAATAGGGAAACCAGGATAGTCTTCCCAATAATCTTAAGAGATACTTTCCACAAGTTAAATTGTTTTTATAATGTGCATCTTGAAAAGGAGAACTGATTTTTTTCAAAGAGAATTAGCACTGGGGAGGGGAGAGAGTTGTGGGCCTGAAAAAACTCTGTCAATAAAAGACTGTAAGTTACTGGGTTATTTAAAGCTGAACAGGCTCCAAGTGTAAATTGCAAGACGATGGCATTTAAACACAGCATCTCATATCTGAAGATCTGGATCTCCAGAGTGAAGGCATGAATGTCACACGTAACTGTGCTGCTCAGGCTTTAAGGCACGGGTACCTGTAGCTCCCTAATGGTAGTGTGAAAGAACAGCATCCCCCTCTGCTGTCTTTTCTGCAGTGGAGTGACAAATCGCTGGAGGTTAGAGATGAAGGACAAGGTCAAGGAAAAGGAGTCAGGGGGACCATCCTCTGTCCTTCCAAGTAGGACTCCCAATTTCTTCAAATACGAAAGATACACACGGAGAACCTGCAATACAGAGCATATCCTCAGTGGAAGATACATGACCAAAATTAGTCACTCCATCCATCCATCCATCCATCCATCCATCCATCCATCCATCCATCCATTCATCTTGACCATATAAACTTCAGTCTTTCAAAATACTGCTGACCAGCCCCATCTCTAAAAGTCTCTTCTTGCTGCAACACCCTTACGTAACTGCTCATGTACAGTTGGCAAAGTGAAGAACAATGTATTAGCAAATCTCAGTGAAGAACAATGAATTCCCAAATGATTCTTCTTCTCACAACTCACAATTACTTAAAATACTAGAATAACTTTAGAGATGTAGGCCTGCCATCTCTGGAGTCAGAGGAGAGAAATTCAGTGATATAATGAGCCAGTATTTTAATGGACAGAAAATGTCAACTTCTTGTTTCTATCTTCATGAGGTTTCGGAGCAATGCTTATGATAGCTCAGGAGTTATTTTGAGGATTTTTCTGAAAGGCTCAGATAAATAACTCAGTTTTTATGAAGTTCAGAAATGACAAAGTTCATTTTGTTACAATGCCCCAAGGTCAAAGAACTTCCCCCAACGTATGTTCAAACACTTTAAAATAAGCTTTAAAATTCTAGCTATCCCTCCCTGCAGTACACAAATTTTGTTATAAAGCTTTATTTTTGACAAAAACATTTTTTAGAAAACATTCATTCAAGGCAAAAACTAAAAGGAAGCCCAGGTTCAGACTACTTAGCAAACAAAAATGAAAATGATAATTATAACATTCTAAACTAGAAGTTTTAAACCTGGCAGGTAAAATGGGTGACATTTTGCAATCTATCCTTTGGAAAAGCTGAGCTTCAAGAAGAATTCTTTCTTAAGGCATTTTCAGAGGTCACTGACCGTAACCCATGGAAACAGACCACTCTGAACCAGGAGGCAATTCAAGGAGATCCCTGCATCAAATAGCTATTTTTACCTTTCTTCAGCCTCTGATATGTTACCTCAAGATAATTTTTCTCTTTGAATTCACTCTCAAGCGGAATATCAAACTCAGGATGGTCAATCTGCAAAAAGGAGTAAAGAAAAAACTGACTATTTTCATAAATGCAAATGTAAGGATATTTTTGGTACATTCTGTATCATGGAATTTGAAATGCTATTAACCTGCTTTTAATTTTGGAAAATTTTCGCTCAGTTCTTCAGAGAAGGACACAGGCTTAACTTGAGCAAGCCTTGGTCTGGCTCTTTACTCACAGTGCTTCCTTGATAATGCTCTTTCTTCAGCACACTCACCTGAATAATATTGGTCTTGGGGTCAAAAGGAGTAGGTCCCACATGGACTCTAAAAAACGGAAAGGTGCTGTATCTGCTCATGAGAATCTGAAGAGTTTCATTAAAATCTTTTGTTTCCCCTACACCTGTGTTATGCCATCCACCAACCTAGAGAAAAACAGAAATGCTGCAAGTGAGAAAATCTGGTTGGATCCATGCTTACATTTTTTTTTTCTTTTACACCTATAAGCTCAGTCATTCTGGTAACTGAGAAGCAACACAGCAAAAAGCATCAAGGGATACTTGTGAAATATTCTGCATACCCTACTGGCTTTAAAATGACCTGACACTTTCCCTTAAGCAAAGCAATGAGCTGCAAAATGACAAAGGGAAAATTCATTGTAATTAGCAACAGAGTAAGGTGTGCAAGAAAAAATGCTGGATAAGCAGGAGACAGGAAATAGGTCTCATTTTTCTAAAGCTATCCAGGAGGACAAACAAGGATCAGTGATTACTGGTCCCACCTCCTTGCCAAGCAGATTCACAGGTGAGCCTGTAGTCACTATTCCTTTTTTTGCTGGAAGGGTCTGCATCCTCCTTTGACACAGGGCATAAATGCTCTTTGCTGGAAGGAAGATGTCCAGCCCTCCCTGGCATCAAGAGGAGTCTCCCAGAATGGAAAGAGAAGGATTTTCTCCTTTAAACAAGCTCTCCTGGAAGCCTTAACTACTGAATGATCACCTGGTTTTAGACACAAAAATTTCATCCATTTGCAAGATGCTCCCCAATCTGTGAGTCAGATCCTGTTGAACCAGACTTCTGAGATAAATGATCTCTCTCTATAGACTTGTTTTTTTACCATCTGTCAGTAATTTATAAGGTTATGAGGAGAGATTCAGGCTCCTGATGTCAAAAAATCAGTTCTTGAAACAGCATTTAAAGCTAGAAGATTTATCACTAGGAAGTTGTGTTGTGAACCATGACTAGGGTCAGATTCTACAAAAGTTACATCATGTAGGACTATATGACCCCACCTGCCCACTTTCCTTCTCCCTGCAGGAATTCTCTTCCTGAGGGAGAGGACACAGCACATTCACCTGATTTAGGAGGTCCTTCAATGGCTGAGCTCCTTGGGATTCTATTTGTTCAGTATCCATGCAGGAACGATAAAATCGTATTGCTTTCTCCTTGGCTGAACCTCTTATCCCAAACTGTGGACTTTCTGAGGAAAAAAGTAGATTTAAAATTAAAAAAAAAAAAAAAAACAAAAAAAAAAAAAAAAAAAAAAGAAGTTGGGACAGCAGTAGAGCACAGAAGAGTTTTAAGAAAATACTGCACTTTGATCCAGAACATTTTAACAAAAACATCCACATTTCCCACAGTGGCCCAAAGCAAGGGAGGTTCTAGTGCCATGACTCTTCCTGAGACCAAATATGTGAGTTTTTTTGCATGGAAACAGGAGCACAACAGGAAGTTAGTGCATATCTAGGCTTCAGTCCCCCATGGAGACAGGACACATCACCAGAGTGCACATTCAGACTAGCACAGCAGCAATGACCTACTTTGACAAGGCAACAGGAAAATGGTTTGAGTTGCTGTCAGAATTTAAAGTGTGACTTTCATCTGTCACACTTGGCAAGAGGAACTAAAATGTTTAAAATGCAGCTACTGTAACATGACATGCCAAAAACATAAATCTGTACCTGTAATGATAGAAGAACGAAGAGAAGGGACTCAGTCCCTGTTAGGAATGATTGTCACTACTATTGTCAGATCTGACTGAGGCAGATGCCGAAGGTAACACACCAATCATCTGACCCTACCTAAAAGCCTTTTCAGGATCAACAGGTTTTCTTCCAACAACACATCAAATACATTTAGTGATTCTTCTCTGGTTCTGCTTGACTGTTTGCCTTCCCATCTGCCACAGGCATATTCGTAGAAGTTCTCACAGGGGTTTACAGTGTCATTCCTAGAATTCAGAAGTCTTGCCAACAGAGCAGGATCTGACTCAGCATCACAGGATCCTGAAGAGGAAGTAAATAAGAGAGAACTGAGAAGTGACAGTAGAGAGTGAGAACAACTCCAAACAAAAATCTTTTATGGGGCATTTACCCCAAAAGACTTATTTTTGGTACAAGCTCCTTTGCATGCAGTGTTGAATTCCTTGTAAGGTATTGCTGAATATGGAGGAAGTGAGTTCTCTCTTTCACATCCCAGGAAGATTGTCCTCTGTTTGTACTATCTAGGCAGCCACAGGTTGGATTATTCTGCCTTCTCAATATCTTTCCTCTGAATCAGCCAATTTTGGCCACATGATAAGAAGAAACTGATGGTGTCAATACATGATGCAAGAGAAGGACAGAGCACCAAGAAAGAAATGAGATAAGATTAAAACATGTTTTTTTCAAGCATGGGAAACATTTTTCAGCATGACATTTGTCAAAGAGGACAAGAATATTTCTAGAATATCTTGCTTTGATCTATAATTTTCTTTTTCTAAACTGATTCAAATTGCTGGGTATACATTGTCATTTTAGTCCAGTATCTTACATCAACATCAGATCAGATCAATTATTTACTGAAATAATCCACCTGCAAATCAAGGTAAGATTTCCCATACTGTGGTTTCAAAGTTGACATGGGAGAAGGTAGGCAGAGTAGAAATGGACTAGACCTAAACAGATTTTCCTTGGTCTCTGCAGTCTCTAACATACAACATAAACTAAAGAAAAAAGCTAGGTAAAGATTCAACAGTGCTTATTTTGGGGCAGGGAATGTCTGTATCCACCAATATAAATGTACCTTCTGTACTGAGTTTTCTATATGCTGAGATATTCACATGGACCATTCTGCAGATAGTTCTTTAGCAAATTTGGAAGGCAAATTAATGTTTGTAGTCTATACTCACAGCTTCTCCATTAGCAAGAAACTCTTGACTTTTGCTTTTACTCTATGACTGCACTGATTTGTGCTAGAAAACCTGGACTAGACTTGTCAGATATAGAAAGGCAAATGAGGTGCTCCAAGTCTCAGATCTAGCTCAGTTTCTTGACTACAGATAGAGCAGAATACACTGATGAGGTGCAAGACAATATAATACATTTCTGCCTCAAAACTGGGCTCAGGCATATTAAATATCAGGCAGAGAAGGACAGATGTGGAGGATCTCTCCCCACTGTGACTTAAGGAAGAGGTAAAAAAATGTACCTTTTTGACAAAAAGTATTATGATTCCTGGAAAGTCTGAAAGTCTGGTTCTTAATACTGATGTTAAGCTTAAAACACAGTGGAGGCAGGTAAGAGAGAAAGGGATCTTAAAAATGGGGTGGATGAGGAAGAATGGAAAAGGATATCTTATATTATACCTAGAGCACAAGTCATCATGAGGTAGGTGATAAGCAATGTAAAACCAAGGAGAATACTGAGAAGAAGTGCACATAGAAGTAGGCTTTTCCCCTGAAGGCATCGTTCTTTCTTTGCACCTGTTCTCAGCTCCTGGTCACAGGTCTGAAGAGACAGAAAAAAATCAAGAAAGAAAAATTCATATTAAGGTTAGCACTAATAACATACTCCATCTCCCACCTAACCTAATAGAAAATCGTTCACAGGACTAGTGCTAAAACACCAATAGTCATCCAAGTCATCTACATGACTGTATTCCCATGGGCTTTCTCATTTTCTTCATTCCTCTGTTTTTTCAAGCAATAACTGTTGCACAGTGTTATGAATTACTCATTGAAAATCCAGCTTGCTATGAGAAGATTTGTCCCTCCATGGTTTATTCTGGTTTATGGAACCACCTTGCATATACCCCCTGAAGATATCAAAGCATTTTTGAGTCTATAAAGCTAATAATAGGATGTCTAGGACTGGTGGTTCTTTATTCTGCCAGAGTCTGGCAATCTGAGCACTAGTTTCAGATCTCTCCTCAAGAAATAAAGTGCATCCAAAGCCCTCTAGTCCAATTCAAGTGAGAGAAAATTTTTGTTCTATTCTACAAACTGGAGTAAGCTGTAAATCGCTGAGAAAATCTTATATAGAGACAGGATTTATGTCATTTCAATTTAGTTTTTTTCATAATCTAGGTGTGTATTTTCAGTCCATGGAACAGGCTAGGGACCTAATGAATACACCTTTTGTTTTAGGTATCTGTTTTAGGATGAACTGAAGCATTCTCCAGAGTTATTTTTCCTTTTCTCTGTTGGCTGCAAAGGAAGCCAGATGACTATCTTAAGATACACCCCTAACATCTACCTGGATACAGTTAGATAATATGACATTTCCTCTCCTTCTGCATACTTTGATGTACATAAGACTGGAGAACAACAGTTTATGAAAGAACAGACACAGTAATGCATGTTGGTGATATATAATGAAAGGGAAAGAATTGAAAAAAAAAGAAAGGTGAAATGACTGAATAGGAGTATACAGTGAGAAAAGGGAGGCAGAAGAGGGAAAAAAGCCAGAAGATAATGTTAAACCTCAGCTGTAGCAAACAAGGAGAAAAATCTCACAACTGTGAAAGCTGATGGAAGTGTTGTTGGGAGAGTCCTACATGTCACTGTCAGGGCCTGGCCTGACCTGTACTGTCCCCACAGGTTCAAGTTTAGCTCCCTGTTCTATCTTGATTCTTTGATAAGAGAAATCTGTGAAAACTTGTCAGGCCTTGGAGCTCTTTGAGGAAAGGCAAGGAGCAACCTTAGTGCACATGCCTACTTCTTCACTTGGCTGTCTGCACTCTCCTGTGCTGTCTCCATCAGAACTTTGCTGCAATGGCAGCCATGCCTTTCTCTGGACAGGCATCCCATCGATCTGGATCCTGACCATCACCTACAGCCTTGATTCTGCAGGTTTGCCCTCTGAACTGCCTCCTCACAAGGGACTTGCCTGGAAGTCTACACTCTTGGTTGTCCCTGGGCATTGTCACCAGGCCTGCCTTACACCCTTCATGCTGGGGGGAGCACACCTTGCTTTTTAAGTCATTGCTTCTTGCCTGTTGTGTCATGACTCTCAGGTTTCAGATTGTCATCTCTCTTCTGCCTTGGCTACTCCCTTACATGCAGCAGCTAAACTGGTATCTATGTTCTTTGCCACAAAACCAGGAAACATGGATCTTGACAAAAATCACAAGAAATGGAGCAAAATCTTACAGGAATTAAGTATGTCACAGTACATGCCCCTTCACCTAAGGGAGCATTAAGGAAATTAATGAGTCTGCTCTTAATCATCTGGACTAACATACTATGTACAACTTCTGCACAAAAACATTAATAGAAGGGAAAACAAAAATAAACAATAGAAAAACAGACCTCATAATTTTATAATCTTTCAAACGTGAATTTTATTCAATCTCGAATAAAAGCCTCTCAAAGGCTTTTTTGACTCCTGGAAATTACTAACAAAAGTTGAGTGCCTAATGCTTTTCTCCTTTAAAATCCTATTCTCCTGACTTTTTCAGGAAGGATACAGAATAACCAAATGGAGAGCAAGTATGTACAAATGACATTAGAAGATGCTAGATACAGAACATCATCATACTGGCAAAGTACAATGTACAAACTACAAAGCAGGAACTCCAAATTCCTAAGTCCCCATAGCAAAACACTTGTTTTACTCCTAGAGTAAGAGAGAAAGTGTCCCAATAGTATGGCAGGGGACTGGGTGAAAGAAAACTAGCTTAGCTGATAAAGGAAATCAAAAAACTATTCTTTGACATGCAAGCCTTCTTCTCTGACCATTTAGGAAAGAGTGAATGATTTACATTCACAATTCTCCTGACTTCTCTGATGCAATAAACTTCTTGTTTTTCACATGGAAAATCTGGCCTTCTCCTACCATGAAATAATAACAATTTTGCAATTATTTGGTTTCACGTCATCAGAAGACATCTGTTTCTCCCTTTTGACTCATAAATGGCATGACTGTGGAGATACTAACAAGAAACTGGCATTTCAAGATTGTTGGTGCAATTTCTTATGAATTGTTGGTTAACAGTCAGTCTATTTCAGGCCTATGCATGATGTTTAGTTTGAAATGCAAAATGCATCAAATAACAGATTTTTAAAAATCTCTAAGAGAAAGAGCACTGCCCCCCTGAAATCTCCATTGTGAAACAACTAGAGAAGTACTTGGCTGAGAGCAGCATGCCCAAATAATAACAGCACAAAAGAAATGTCAGGGAAGTGGGAACTGGTTGTGGACCTCTACATAGAAACTGGACTATGGTCTGTGAATCATATTATGTGAACCATAAGCATAAAAATTGTTCTTGAAACACTTCATCTTCCATAATAAATACCTTTCTAACCTTGCCTCTGTAAATGGGGTGGGGTTTGAGAGAAATTGTGGACCTACATAGACAGAGAAAAAAGAAGAGGGCAGTCATATTTAGTTCTCCTTTATGTCTTTTTCATGACAACAGCTGACAAATACTGCTTTTTCAGTGCTCTTACACAGACACTGACCAGAGCAAAATCCTTGTCAGATTCTTGATCTAGAATGAATTTCACTTTTATGTCACAATGGATTAAGTGGTTCACAGGCACTAAAATAGAGACCTCTTCCTAAGCCAGCTATTCTTGGCCAAGGCAGAGGTGTGGATGTAACTAGATGGATCCCGAGATGGTATACAACACTCCCAGGGCACAGGATACAGGAACATTACATAGCTTACAGGAAGCAGCAGCACTTTATTGTATGTTTTGAGACCGGGCTGCTTCATCCAGCATGCTCCAAATAAAGATACAAGTGAATGGTTTGAACAAGCCAGCGGAAAAGGATAAAAAGATTCAACCTCTGACAGGGTTTTTCCTTATAGGCCTCATTTATGGGTGAGAAGAATAATCAGTATTAGCATAAAGATGAATGCAATTTCCATTACAGTTTCAGTTCTTTCATGGTTTTTAAGCATGTGCAAATGCTCAAATTTAAATGGCTTCACTATAGCTAAGTGAGAACAAATGGCTGTAAAATCATTAAAAGATGAATTCTAATAGCTGTAAATTATAAAAATTTATGACTTTAAATTAATGTACTAGGTGTATCATCTAACTCAAACATAAGCATGACTTGGGACAGCTTAAGTACTGTTATCACTAGATCAAGAACTGTTTGATACAACTCAATCAGCCAAAGAATTTGATTTTGCTTGAGCATCTCCTTCTTTCTGTTTGTGAGCTATTCCTGAATTCTGAGGGAGGTTGAAGACACTAACTAATTCTTTCTCACCTTGCATTTTCAGAGTTTTTAATGACATTACAAGAAAAGAAGCATCTAGCTTTCATGAAAATAAAATAAATTTTAAAAAATAGATCAAAGGGAGAGAGAGCTGAACTTATTTTTCATAATTATTTACCAGATAATGTTAGCAGTATTGTTTTTCAGCCAGTAATTATTCATGAATTATTGACTTTGGCTGTTACCCAAATCATGTTTACCACATTACTCACATGGATGGCATATTTTCAGACTAATACCCCAATATCACAAAAACCTTATTTTTCTTAAGTTTATCTTTTGCCAGCAAATTATTTAAGCACATTATTATGGTTTGATCTTCATCACACAGAAATTTGGGAATATACAAAACAAACATTTCTGCAAATTCTTCAACTATAAAAATGCAGATAAGATAAATATAAGTGACTGCATTACAGCCACAGTCACACTGAACAGATCTCAATGTAAAAACACACACACATTACAGTGTTTGTATTATTTAGTAACATAAAACACTTCACTTATCTCTGTTGCCCTTGAATGTTTTGTGCTTTTTTAGCAACCTTGAGCTAACAGTTCAGTTCAGTGCAATTTGTCTGTAAATATGCAATTAAGACTTTGCTAGATATTTATATAAGACATCAAAGCAGAAAAAGGACACCACGCTACATGGGAAGCAATTAGGCTCACCATGTCACATTCCAGAAAACTATGCCTTGCTTATCCACAACTATTTGTGGGGGGAAAACTATACATTTCAGTGTAAGTACTTTCTTATTATACCTTGCTGAAAAAAATGGAGATAGAATAAAAGATGTCATTATTATTTTTATTTACTGTTGTTGTTGTTATCATTATTACTACTACTAATAGTTTTACTATTATTATTATTACTTGTTGGTCAGTGCTTCAAACAGTTCTCAGAATGGCCATTAGGGTGACTAACAGGAAGGGCAAGAACCCCTAAATCATCACACCATATTCCAAATCATTAATTCTGAGACCCGGACAAGACCCTTCTAGATACAAACTGTCAAAAACTCAACTACCTCAGTCCCCCAAGGCAATAAGCAGTGTAGCTATGAAAGGGGAAGGAAAAGAAAGGTGTGCAATGAAGGTCCCTCAGCAGATTGCAAGACAGACCCATTTCCTTACCTGTGGAACAGTGCTCATGCTTGTCACTGAGCAGTCTTTGCTCCTGCGGCTACCACGGTTGTGAACTCTGTTTACTTGGCTGCTATCAGTCTCCTGTGCCCATGCACTCTGCTGAGTTTGGAGACAATCTCTTCTCTCCAGCTTGGCTGTTTGCTGTGGGGAGGAGAAGTGAGAGGAAAAGCTCAGAGACAAACACCCTTAGAGAAAATGGGAGGGAGGGAAATGATGTTTCTGCAACTCTCCACCCACCTTCTTAACACCTCTATTTCTTATGAAAGGATATTCTTTTTCCCCTTCTGAGTGTCTGTGACCCACCTGCCTTTCTGTCTCTTGGAGCTCCACTGAAATCTTTTTGAAGAGGAGTATGTGATTCTCTATCTCCTCCACACTCTTCTGAGCTATTTGCTGTTTCTTTTCTCTCCAGCAGCCTCACTATCCTGCCCACCCAACAAGCCTGTTTTGGTCTGATATTCTCCCTGCCACTTGCCTGTTTCAACCTGCGGCTGCCCTGGGGCCCGCAGGCTTCTGCCTATTGCTAGATAGTGTGGGCTAGGGATCCTAGTGCTCCTCCTCCCACGAGGAAAGGCCAAGGTGCTGACTTGCTCTTGCCCTCTCATCTCCACCTTAGTGTCCACTCAAGGGGTGAACACATCTGACTTTTTCCCATTAGGAGGTATAGAAAAAAAAAAATCATTAATTGCTGATTCTATTTACAGTTGTTCTTGGAAAATGGCCAGCCTGTGTGTCTTTGCTTTTTTAAGGAGGAACATTGGGAATATTTGGGACTGGGAACTCAGATTATTTCTCTGAGACATTAAAAACTGAGTAGGAGAGCAAGACATTGAGACTTGAGACCTTCTCAATTGGCGGCTGTGAGGTGAGAGAGGTAGTGGGGACCATCTTGGTGTCAGCTTCCAAAGTGCTTGAAACAAGCAAAATACCAGGACAGCACTGTTTGCCTCCCCAGGCTGCAAGTCTCTGAGGAGAATTTGATATCTTGGTTCACTAGTCTGAAAATACTTTGATATCTGTTCAGTTTTTCAGAGCTCCTATCAACCTGATTTTTCCCTATTTCTGTAGTGCTTGCATAATTTAACACTTTATTATCGTAACAGATTTCTTATGTGGCTGCAACCAGTTACTTACTCCCAGTTCTTTTTAGCATTCAGGTTACTGGTAGCTATATATTTCTGTATTTACCAAACAGCTCTAAATACAGTAAGAAAGTCCTAGCATACTGACAAAAAGATCCCTACTGATCTTTCCTTGCAGTGTGTCACTTCACTTTAACATCAGAATCCATTTTGCAAATACTTCTCTCATAAATTGATTGATATTTGATTTAATGAAAGCAACGAAACAAAAGTTTTTTGTTAGCCACAATTGAGATCTCACGGTGAAGAGATCTTTGTATACTATTTGGACAAATTTGTTCATTACAATATTCAGTTTATTTATCTGTCTTAACTGTATCTGAACTCTTCCACCTTCATTACAGCATCTAACAGCTGCCAAGCTTTATGTAATGAAGTAAATTTTATTTCTCTTTTCTCCATGAACACTATCTAAGTTTTAAAAATTACCTGGGTAAGGAATTTATTGACTTTTTTGATTATAAAATGGTTATGATGATTTTGAATCCAATGTAAAAAAATTAAAGCAAGTAATAAAACCTTGGCTGAAGTATTCACTTTTAAAATGACACTTGAGAAGACAAAAGAGGCCTTTGGTCAATATGCTGGGAGGATATGATTGGCGTTAACCTGGTTTCGTGTACCAGTATCTATTAAACAGGTATTCTCATTTCCTCTTGATAGAATGAAATTTTACCACTTAATTATTGCCACAACAGATGGATTGTCCCACACACACTACCTAGAAATTATTTGAATGTGTATGTATAGGCAATTTTTACCAGACTTGCTAGCTAATAAGGACACATCCTGAAAAGTCGATGGATCACAACTTCATTTCAAGAGTGCGTGGGATGTTTCAGGAAAGGCAACCTGAGAAGCCTTCTCTTTCTCACTGAAGAGCACAACTCATTGAATTAGAACCTGTTTCAAGGGTGCTGTGATGCTGAGAAAGCTGCCTTGAAAGATCTAGTGTGGTGGTGATATTTCTTCTCGGAAGGCATGACATGCCATAGTAACATCATGTATTGGCTCTAATAGACGTTATTGTTGGATTCTCAATACTGTTCTGGAAAAGTATGCTCCTGAGTAGTATTCTGCTGCAATGGACATAGGGTTTTGAGTTTGTTCAGTAATTCAGTAGCAAAGCTGAGCTGTTACGGAGAGAATTAAGTTGTTAAAACTTTTATTTATTCCAAAATTTGTGTATCTCATTGGAAAAATGTGGATTTATTTCACATAGATGCTCCCTCTGTGACTATGGGCTGAGATATCCAGGTATAAGACATATTTTATCTGAAATTATGTGATCCACACTTCAGAAAAATCTGTTTGGCTGTGGTTATTAGCTGTTGCAAAATAATTCAGACACTGTATTTATGTATATTTTCAAGCAGAGTTTCTTACATCTGTCAAGGTAAGAATAGAGCATATTTGCATTTGGTAGCAATAAGGCAGTGAAGCATGTCTTACATTTTCCACATCACAAATTGGGTATGGAAATTTCTTTCAGATTATGTGGCACAGGACAGCAGCACTTTCTATCTGAAAGTGACAGTCTGTATATATATTTAAGCCTTGAAAAATCTATACCTTGGAGAGGATTGCATGATGCCATTGTAAATATTCTGATGGGGTTTTGAATATATAACTTGTAGAGCTTTGGGCAGCTTCAGAGCTGAATGCATGAAGCATTCCCATATACATGAAAATGGTGCTGTTGTTTTTCCTGCTAGCATGTAGGTTTCTTTGAAGACACTTTTAGCACTTACAGAAAGCAAAGACAAAAAATTTCCCTGTAAATTTTTTCTAATTTCAGAAGCAGGAAGAGGGGCTTGGGGGAGGGAGGGAGGGCAGGGAGGGAGAAGACGTCACAAGTAATCCTTATCAACTCATTCCCTTCTTATCTTTAAGGCACATATGACAGCTCTGCTCCCTTGAGTCCACAAATTAGTAAGAGAACCTCTGGCTTTTTTCTCTGTGACAGACACTTTCCTCTATACAGTGCATTATCCTCTTCCAAATCTAACAATGATCAGCAAACTGAAAAAAATATAATGTTCAGCATGCCTTCCAGCTGTTACACATAAAACTGGTTAACAGCAATTATCTTTTAGATACCTCCTAGAATTAAATAAACATATGATTCAAAGAAATATGGATGTATTAAGTGTGTTGGTGTGCATTTGACAGATGTTGTTTCAAGTATTTCTTATGGTAATTTAAAATGGTTAGTATTTAAAATGGTTTGGAATCAAAAGCAGATTTCAGCAAATTATTTTTCTAATATATGTCCTGAAGTGAAATTTAATTGGGACTTTAATCTTCTACATCATGTGAATAGTAAATTTCACTACAACAGTTTGGTAGACTGAAGTTTTGCTTCATGGATTGATATTCCATCTTCAACCTTTCAAAATATATATGTATTACAGACTGCATGAAAGTTTGCTCTTTTAAAAAGAGCATTAGAAAAACATGGTGAGGCAATATTAATGACGCTGGCCATCTTGAAAACTCCTGTGAAAAGGCTATCACTTACAAAGAGACTGCACTTAGGTTTAAAAAAAACTCGTTTAACTCAATCCCTTGTACCTCAAATGGTCCTTGGTGGTACTACTACTGAGCAATGTGACTTAAGGATTAAAACAACATGAAAGAAAATCTCCTTGATATGAAAGACTGTCAGCTAAAGGTTAGTAATAATTTTAGTAACCGTCAAAAGCACAAATTTGGTCTGATGACATCAGAACACTATAGCACTTGTTCCTTCACTAAAGAAGTTCAGAAACTGACAGCCTGAGAGCCGTAATATTCCATTGTAGATTGGAGGACTGATGACAGGAAAAATTAATTAAATTTAAACAGCTCATAATTGGAGTTGTCTGTCAGGGATCCAGCAGAGTGTTCCCACTGCCCTGCAGGTGACAGATCCCTTCTGGGGCAAAAGTGCTCTCAGACACTCTCAAGTCACATACACAGATGGCAACTTTTCACCCTTTTATTCACCAGAAACTTGCTCTCTCATCTAGCATCAGTCTACCAGTACACAAACTCAAAGACTCATAGAATGTAGTTAGAAAGGACCTTTTAAAAATCATCCAGTTCAACCAAGCCACCATGGTCAGGCTGCTTGATCTCTGTCCAGGCCTTGAATACTTCTAGTGAGGGGGCGTTCACCACTTCCCTGGGCAACCCATCCTTCTAGCTTTCTGCAACATCTTTATGCAGAAAAAAAGGGCAGAAAAGTAATTGATGCTTCTAACCACAGCCACCTGTTCATACACATTAGGTTCAGAGGAGGAAGGAACAAGAGGAGAAACGTAAATTTGTAAGCCCAGATTAGCTCAATCTGTAGCAATTCAGTTACCTGGATGAATTTGTTAAAGACAATGGGGAAAAAAGAGGAATAGTCTGACCTCTGTGAGTCCTTCAAATTGAAGATTCATCAGTCAACCCATAAGGAAGATTATACTCAAACCTGGGATCCAAGTGGATAGAATGGATATGTGAACTGGGACGTAGACAGGAAGGGTATCCTTGATGACAGGAAAGAAAAGGAGTTGGTTTCAGGCACTAGGAAAGGACAGTCTGAGAATTAAGGGTAAGAGGGTAAAGAAGATCAGGCAAGAAAGACAGGAGAAGCAGTGAAAATAAGAATGGCAAAAACCACTAAAGTTGAAACTAAAAAAACACCTTGTTTTCCCCTGTCCTACATGAATGTACATGAGTTTCCCTGGTCATAACCCTATCATACATGAATGTCTTCTATTATTTTCTGTGTTACTTTAATATATCATTTGTTGCCTCATTGGGCACAAACTCTAAGAATAAATAGCATAATTAGAATATCACCTCAGGCTATTATTAAAATTTTGTAGGTTTTTTTTGTAGCTACTGTACTAGTGAGAACTTGATTTTTTTTTTTTCTCTGCAACAGAGTGAGGACTGATATTTAAAAAAGATTTTTGCGGTTGTATATCTCTTTATGCATTCAGATATTCACTGTGAAACCATTCCAAAACACCCACGAGGCATAGTATTCCATGCAGAAAATCAAGTCCTAGCCTCTGAAGCATTTATTTAACATCAAGGAGAGCAAGAAAGAATATAAGCCTAATCCCTGAATAAGCAGCCACACAGCCTTCTACTGAGGAGGCATGTTAAGGCAAATTAAATATCAGAGTCCACCAGATGCCAGAGGGCTTCTCTTACAATTGAGTGTGTATCAGCTCTGTTCTTGCTTCTTCACAATGCACCACCTTCCAAAATACATCCTAGAAAACCATTTTCTGTGGCTCTCGAAAGTGCTTGCTATCTGCTTTGTTTTTACAGTTGTTTATAGGCTGATTTAAATGGATATTCCTGTAAAAGTCCATTCTGAT